GAGCCTGGAGCCTGTTTCCGATTCTGTGTCTCCCTCTCTCTCTGCCCCTCCCCCGTTCATGCTCTGTCTCTCTCTGTCCCAAAAATAATAAACGTTAAAAAAAAAATTTTTTTTTAAATAAAATAAAGTTGTTATCTGATGAAGTTTTATAGAAAGTGAACATGATACAAATTACAGCGATTAAAACATCATTGTATATAATTCTGAATCTTTAAGAATTGATATTTCATTTTTCAAATTTAGGTTCATATTTTGGAAACAAAAGATCTAATGCAGAAAACATATTTGCATCAAATTTTACTTTTGGTACAAGCTCATCTTCTGCACGAGATAGTAATTATCCTCAAATACTAAAAACTCCATTGTCTGCTGGAAATCCCCAGAGATCAGGTTATAAAAGTTGGACACCACAAATGGGATATTCAGGTAAAATGAGTGGAATGTTGACCTAGATGACGTTTTGAAACTTTTAAGATTTATAAGTTAGGGTAGTTAAATTCATTTGAAGTTATTTGTAATTGATATGGATGACTGAAAAAAACACATCAGTTTACATCTATCCATAATTTGAGGTTAAGTTAATGCTACATAGTTTCTGATATTATTTGTTAATATATCCAGGTCTGCATTATTTTAACTATTCTGACAAAAAGTAAATGAAGGAGAAAACTCTCTTATACATGATGTTTATTTAAATTTAGAAATTGACCCTGCTAGTACATCCTGTGGGTTTTTTTATACTTAAATTTTAGTTTTTATATAAATCTACTAGATTTTCTTGAGGGGAAAATGGATGAACTAATTTCTTCATGTGTAAGCATTCTCTAAGGTACATTCAGTGAAATTGCTTGGATATAGTGTTTGTGAATGTATACATTTACAAGATAATGACGAATTGTTTTTCTAAGTACTTCTACCAGGGTACACTATTACTGGCAATGTATAAGAGTTCTTGTTAATTTACATCCTCTCCAACATTTTGTATTGTCAGACTTAATATTTACCAGTCCAGCAGTTGTAAGATACAACCTAATTGTAGTTTGAGTTGGCATCTTCCTGGTTATCAATGAGGCTGATTACCTTTTTTTTTTTTTTTAAGTTTATTTATTTATTTTGAGAGAGAAGAGAGAACATGCATGCTGAAGGGGCAGAGAGAGAGAGAAAGAGAGAATCCCAAGCGGGCTAGTGCCCTATGTGGGCTTGAACTCACAAACCTCTAGATGGTGATCTGAGCTGAAGTCAAGAATTGAACACTTAACTGAATGAGACACCCAGGCACCCGAGGCTGGTTACATTTTGTTGCTTTTTGACCATCTAGCTTTCATTTTTTGTGAAATGACTGTTTGTGTGTTTTTCCCATTTTTCTTTACTTTTATTTTCTAGATTTGTAGAAATTCCTTATATATTCTAAATATATATTCAGAATACATATTCTTTTTGATGAGTACATTTATTGGGTGTATCTTCCCTAGGTTTGTGACTTCTCTTCTTTCCTCCTTTTTTTATGATGTTCTTTGATGAACAGAAGTTCTTAATTTTATACATTAGTAAACATTTTGTCTCCACTTGTAAATGTCTTTTACAGTCATAAATATGTATAGTTTATATGTCTATTAGGTTATCTTTTTTTTTTTTTTTTTAAGCTCTATGCCCAGCGTGGGGCTTGAACTCATGACTCTGAGGTTAAGAGTTGCATGCTCTACTGACTGAGACAGCTAGGTGCCCCTATTAGGTTCTTTAATTGTGCTAAGTCTGTATTACTAAAGACTTTTGTAGAGGTATATTAAAATCTCCCATTATGATTGTGGACTTGTCTATTTTCTCTAGTAGTTCTGTTAATATTTTGTTTTGCCTATTTTGAAGCTATTTCATTATTTTTTAAAATTTCTTTTGAGAGAGAGAGTGCATGCACACATGCATACAAGCAGAGGAAGAGCAGAGAGAGAGAGAGAGAGAGAGAGAGAGAGAG